GTCCCAGATCTGTTGTTAAGCCAACTACTATGTTTATCAATGTTTGGCATGACATGGAGTTGGCTACGCAGCACAAACAGTTCTTGGACTACAGTCCCCATTTATAAAGCGTCTCAGTCAGAGTAGGAGTGCTGATCCAGGATCAGTATTGCCTTTTGTATTATAAATAATGCGATTACATTGACAGTGGTGACTTGATCCTAGATCAGCATTCCTACTCTAAGACACTATGAATACAGGCCCAGGCCTATGAAACTTCTGACCAGTGCTACACCAGCTTAACCTAAACACACCAAAAAAAACAATGCAAAACCCCAACTTGAATTGGAGCTGGTAAATATTTCTTATGTTCTATTCCCTTTTAAAAACGAGGAGGAAACGGTGCAAATGTAATATGCACTGAGTCTACAAAACATTAAGAACACCTTCCAAATATCGAGTTGCACCCCCTTTTCTCCTCAGAACAGCCTCAATTAGTTTGGGGCATGGACTCTACAAGGTGTCGAAAGCGTTCCACAGGGATACTGGCCCATGTTGACTCCAATGCTTCCCACAGTTGTGTCAAGTTGGCTGGATGTCCTTTGGGTGATGGACCATTCTTGATACACACGGGAAACTGTTGAGCGTTAAAAACCCAGCAGCGTTGCAGTTCTTGACACACTCAAACCAGTGCACCTGGCACCTACTACCATACCCTCTGAATGGTGCACATACACAATCCATGTCTCAATTGTCTCAAGGCTTGAAAAATCCTTCTTTAACCAGTCTCCCCCCCTTCATCTACAGTGCATTCGGAAAGTATTCACACCCCCTTGACGTTTTCCACATTTTGTTATGTTACAGCCTTATTCTAAAATGGATTAAATAAAAATCCTCATCAATCTACACACAAAACGGGTTTGGCCGGTGTAGGCCGTCATTGTAAATAAGAATTTGTTCTTAAAGGACTTGCCTAGTTAAATAAAGGTTAAATAAAATAGAAAATAAAAAATAAAAAATAATACCCCATAATGACAAAGCGAAAACAGGTTTTTAGAAAAAAGAAATTTTTTACATATTTACATAAGTATTCAGACCATTTGCTATGAGACTCGAAATTGAGCTCAGGTGCATCCTGTTTCCATTGATCATCCTTGAGATGTTTCTACAACTTGATTGGAGTCCATCTGTGGTAAATTCAATTGATTGGACATGATTTGGAAAGGCACACACCTGTCTATATAAGGTCCCACAGTTGACAGTGTCATAGCAAAAACCAAGCCATGTGTAGGGCAGTTGCGGTGACCGGCGGTCACGAATCATGAAGGCAGTCAAATTCCACATGACCGTTTAGTCACAGTAATTAGACTTCTCCAAGCTCTGATGCTGCTGATGGTCATTAGTAGCCTACCAAACTTGCTAACTGCCTGGTACTCAGCACTCTAATCACTCTGACATCAATGCAAATGTATTTGAAAATCTAAACCAAACATTTCATGAGAGCCCATGAGCTGATGTTGCGCAACATTTCTATAGGCTATGCAATTGCGGGAGAAAACAGAGTGATGGCCGCTATTAAAAAGAGGAGGATCCCATCAGCTTTCTATAGGCTAGGCCTACTATATTTATTTCTCAACTTTCCTAATATTAAGCACATTGCTTATATTTAAAACAGGAGTATAGCCTACATGGCTGGCATGAAAATAAACCATGGGGAAAAGCGTCCTTCATTCGCTATTTATGCTGCACGTTTTGATACAGGTGCATGATAATGGTCCATTCTAAATCAAAACAAATTTCACACATATATTATTTAGTATATGTGAAGACAAGATTAAATCAAGAATAGTCTAAATGGTGACAATATTAGCCTATCACTTGTGAATGCCTTTTTTTTGCGACTTGTTCGAATCATAGTCGCCACACCTCATGTACCCTAGCCTATAAGCCTATATGTTTTAATAAGGTTTGTATCAACTAAAGTGGCTAAATAACTTCTTTAAATGAAGCACATTAATCTGCTTTACAACGGGTGTAGAGCCTAACTGGCATATACAAACAGCGCGAGAATTTCAAGTTTGGGGAAGATAATTACAAAAGCATTACATGCATAATTGCATTTGCGGTCACTTTTGATAATGGTGTTTTCCGCTAATGGAACATTTGCGCTTATTGCTTACTATCATGTGCGCATTGCTGCACTTATAATGTGAAGAAATAGCCTAATAGGTTATCAACATTTTAAGCTAAACGTGCTGATCTGCCAAATTGCATAAAAAAGGTTTTTGGATGCTAGTGGTTGTATTAATTTGGGATCTATCGCGTCCCACAACTGTCCCAGACTATGTTTGGAATATTTATTTCTCGCACAGAATACAATAGGTCAACTTTTGTACTATGGGGGATAGTAGATTGACAGAGACTAGTGCTTTTGCTGTTCGTTAGTCCTACTCATCTTGTTGGCTGACGAAAAGTAAATGTGGACAGTTCTTGCAACATCTTCAATATGCACCTCGGAATTGGATAAGGAGGCACAGTTGCGTCCCGGATGTGTCTGTCTTAACTTGTAGCCTGTGAACACGACCCAATCACGTGACGGAGAGCCATGTGAGTGAGAGACATTTCGGATTGCGCAGCACACTCCGGAAGAAGGGCACAACGCCACACTCCAGGCTGCAAAAGGCATTGATTTTTTTAGGGTGCATTATGGCCACAAAGGGGATGCCGCCGTGAAATTCGAGGCATTATCAAGTGCTTGTCAAATTGTGAATGAGAGACTGATGAATGTGAAACATCCTGCACAAAAAACAAAGCAGAGCTCATGCCTTTCATGCAACTTTTTTCAAATCATCTTTAGTCTCATCATGCAGCCTTAAAATGTATTAAAAATCAAACCATATAGCCCAACGTTTGTAGAACAACTAAAGTTACATTAATAACTCTAAATTAAGCATATAGGAGTACATATTTCTTTGTTAACTGCTCAACACAGAATAGCCGCATGTGCACACTCCCTCAAATCATGGAGAAAATATATCATGCTTCTTTAGACCTGTCTAAAATAAATTATGGATTTATTGTGAAGGTGTAGGCTATATTACATGGATTTATTAGACTTTTTAAAATGGCTTGTAGGCTATGTGTGGAAGCCAGGAGATGCTAAATGTTAATTAACGGTCAATTACCGTGTGACCGACAATTATTTGCTTGACAATCACCGGCTGACAAAATTTCATGACCGCCACAGCCCTAGCCATGAGGTCGAAGGAATTGTCCGTAGAGCTCCGAGACAGGATTGTGTCAAGGCACAGATCTGGGGAAGGGTGCCCAAAAATGTATGTAGCATTTAAGGTCCATCGTTCTTAAATGGAAGAAATGTTTGGAACCACCAAGACTCTTCCTGGAGCTGGCCGCATGGCCAAACTGAGCAATTGGGGGAGAAGGGCCTTGGTCAGGGAGGTGACCAAGAACCGGATGGTCACTCTGACAGAGCTCCAGAATTCCTCTGTGGAGATGGGAGAACCTTCCAGAAGGACAACCATCTCTGCAGCACTCCACCAATCAGGCATTTATGGTAGAGTGACCAGACAGAAGCCACTCCTCAGTAAAAGGCACATGACAGCCCGCTTGGAGTTTGCCAAAAGGCACCTAAAGACTCTCAGATCATGAGAAACAAGATTCTCTGTTTTGATGAAACCAAGATTGAACTCTTTGGCCTGAATGCCAAGCGTTACGTCTGTAAGGGAACCAGGCACTGCTCATCACCTGGCTAATACCGTCCCTACGGTGAAGCATGGTGGTGGCAGCATCATGCTGTGGAGATGTTTTTCAGCGGCAGGGGCTGGGAGACTAGTCAGGGTCGAGGGAAAGATGAACGGAGCAAAGTACAGAGAGATCCTTGATGAAAACCTGCCCCAGAGTGTTCAGGACCTCAGACTGGGTCGAAAGTTCACCTTCCAACAGGACAACGACCCTAAGCACACAGCCAAGACAACGCAGAAGTGACTTCGGGACAAGTCTCTGAATGTCCTTGAGTGGCCCAGCCAGATCTCTGGAGAGACCTGAATATAGCTGTGCAGCAATTATCCCCATCCAACCTGACAGAGCTTGAGAGGATCTACAGAGAAGAATGGGAGAAACTCCCCAAATACAGGTGTGCCAAGCTTGTAGCGTCATACCCAAGAAGAGTCGAGGCTGTAATCGCTGCCAAAGGTGCTTCAACAAAGTACTGAGTAAAGAGTCTGAATACATATGTAAATGTTAGCAGTTTTTTCTTTTTAATACATTTACAAAAATATAAAAATAAACTGTTTTTGCTTTGTCATTATGGGGTATTGTGTGTAGATTGATGAGGGGAAAAAACGATTTAATCCATTTTAGAATAAGGCTGTAACCTAACAAAATGTGGAAAAAGTGAAGGGGTCTGAATACATTCCGAATGCACTGGTTGAAGTGGATTAAACAAGTTACATTAATAAGGGATCATAGCATTCACTTGGATTCACCTGTACGGTCTATGTCATGGGAAGAGCCGGTGTTCCTAATGTTTTGTACACTCAGTATAAATCCGGCCTAACAAAATCTTGGAACAAATGAAAAGCCTAAAATTGGCCACCCCCCCACAGACAGTAGCAAGAACCCAACTAACTAGTGATGATAGTACTCTCCCCTCTTCTAAACTAGGGCTTATACCCTCTTATCGCTTTCCCATAACACACCACGTGAACTCCTTTCACATGGAGCCTGTGATGACACAACAACACATTGTGAATGTGGGAACTGTAGCCACAGGAGCCAGCATGTCCCCCGACTGACACCGGTCACTCCACTAATGACAATTACTACTATTTACCCTCTGCTCTGCCTGGCACGGCCCTTGTGGGCAAAGCCCAACTGGGTGGCATGAGAAATAATAACACTTCCACCGAGACTCCCCAAGGTTTGTGGGAAACATGTCCCACCCCTCCCCCTCCCCTATTTCCATCTCTCTCCCGATCTTTCTCCTTTTGCTACTGTATGTCCTAACGAATACATCCCGTGTCTCTCACCATGTTCTCCACAGTGCGCAGGTACTTGGCACACTGGGCGTGCCCGTTGTACTCTGCCAGGTCAGCCGCGGAGAAGCCGTCCTGGTCCCGTATGCCCAGGTCCACCCCGTTCACCACCAGGATCTGACAGCACTGAGAGAGAAAGAAAGAAAGAGCGAGAGTTGGGAGAAGGAGAGTGAGACAGTCAGAAACATGAAAAAAGAGACAGAGGAAGACAGAGACAGTGACAAAGACAGAGAGGTCAGCTCATCACAAAAATAACTGTGTGGGAAGTTGTAAAGAGAGACAGTTCTCACAACAGCTGTGAGGCGTCTAACCTTAGGAAGGGAGACAATCTCAACTTGCTGCTCTCACTTGGCTAGTTTCTGTTCGTTATTCCTGTCGCCCTTGGTGTCTTGACTAGCCTCTCTCCCTCTGCCTTCCTACCCCCTCTCGTCACATACAGTACGGCCCACTGCCCTTTGACTCCCCTCCCCCCCCATCTTCCAAATACTTTAACTCTTCAAAAATACATACAGTAGATCTTCTTGGGCCTGCTAATGGTTGGGCATTACGCTCATTGGCCAAACACCACACCAATTTCTATACGTACGAGTCAACCAGCTAATGTCAACCACTGCAGATTGCGATCTCTAAAGGGAGTGCATTGTGTAAGCGCACAAACGCATGCTTCACAGCCCTATCGGGTGTCTAAACCCACTGACCCAATTTCTTGTCCCCTCCTACAGATCCCTCTGTACACCAGAGTCAGAAGCTGCCAGTCACTGACCTCTGCTACAAGTGTGACATCAGCAGCCTCATAGACTTCAGGTGCCGGTTGCACCAGTAAGTGGGTCGTAACGCTACTTCCGTTAATATACCCTAGTAGGGAGCAGGTGTAGGGTGTGAAATTGGGACGACCATCATGATATGCATAAAAATTTACAGCAATCTATATTTTCAAAAGCATGCGGGCTGTGAAATATACAGAAAAACGCATGTCAGAAATGTTATGAATTGATTTACATTTTAAATGAGGGAAATCAGAAAGATTTCTGGCTCCCAGGTGTCTTTTATACAGGTAACGAGCGGAGATTAGGAGCACACTCTTAAAGGGAGTGCTCCTAATCTCAGCTTGTTACCTGTATAAAAGACACCTGTCCACAGAAGCAATCAATCAATCAGATTCCAAACTCTCCACCATGGCCAAGACCAAATACTTATTTCCCTTATTAAAATGCAAATCAATTTATAACATTTTTGACATTTTTTTGTTGTTATTCTGTCTCTCACGGTTCAAATAAACCTACCATTAAAATTATAGACTGATCATGTCTTTGTCAGTGGGCAAACGTACAAAATCAGCAGGGGATCAAATACTTTTTTCCCTCACTGTATGTGAGTCAACAGTAAATAATAGCCTACACTTGATTTAGGCTAAATGTTTGATTCTGATCAGTAATAGATGAGCCAATGAATAGATGAGCTATCACCTCCACTTATTTGCCCAGCCAGAGATCAATTAACCAAATATACAGACAGATTATATCACATTAATTGATTAGGAAAGTCATGGGCTTTTGGTCGAGTAGGCTACTATGCAAGTAAAGAGAAAAAAAATCCACTTGTTGAGATGTGCAAACTAGACAAGATGATCATGAGCACCCACCTCAACTTAGCTAACATTTTCCCAACCTAATTGTAACCAAATATCAAAGCAGCGCAATGGCGCTGTCTCAATCCAAACAGTGCTGAAATTATCATCTATTCCACACATGGCTATTGCTTTAATTTATTAACGGTTGGATAACTTTGGGAGTTTCAGTAAGCAATAATTTGATACATGCTTTCTATTGCATTAGCTTCTTTATTCCAATATTTTCGTCATTCAGTGATATTAATTCCATTTCCCGCAGTAATTCTTTATCGATCCATCCAGTTGTGGTTAAGAAAACGTGCATGCATAGTCGTGGGCTACGCAAAGTGATGGGCGAAGTGACATGCCTCGCAAAGTTTAGAATTGCCACTAGGCTGGTAACAGCCTAGTAATGGACGTTGCCTAGAAACCATAAATCTCATGAAAGTGCATTGCTTACGCCGGACAGCTACGACTAGTCTTTTATTTTTTATTGAATATTTAAAAACATACAATCTACTTGCAGTCAACATATACACCACATTAGTCATCTAACAGACTCCCATCCAGAGCGACCCACAGAAGCAACCAGGGTCAACGCCCTGCTCAAGGGTACGTCGACAGATCTCCCACAAGGTCAAAAACGGGGACCCGAACCAGCGACCCATCAGCCACCGGCCCAAGCTCCCCCCGAGAAAATAATAATAATTCCATTCCCCATCGCAAAGACCCCCGTCCCCCAAAGCCCCCGCCCCCCCCAGCCCCCGTCCCCCAAAGCCCCAGTCCCCCCCTAGCCCCAGTCCCCCAAAGTCCCCGTCCCCCCCCCCCCTAGCCCCCGTCCCCCAAAGCCCCCGTCCCCCCCAATGCCCCCGTCCCCCAAAGCACAAAACACCTTCACGGCATCAGCCTCAGGCAAACAGGTATTAGCTGTAACAACACTGCCCCTCAGTGTCATTCAAACTTACTTTTTGTTATGTTTTATTTGGACTTTTATCTTTGACCATCATTCTATCTCCCGCCCAGCAACTCCACTCCCACTTGTCTCCAATTCCACATCCCAACCCTCAGCTGTCACGTCTCCTGCCGTTGCTCCCCTCCGGCGCTCTGATTCGCCGGTCTACTGAGCCACTGGTCTGAGCGCACCACCTCGGCAAACACAGGACTGGAAACCCAACGCACCCTAATCACCTCCAGCGCACCTGCACCTCATCATCTCATCATCACCACTATATAGCCCTGGACTGTTCGTTCATTGTTGTGTGGAATCGTTTACTCGCTCTTTGTTATTCTCTTTCTTATTAAGTAAAACCTTACTTTGTTAATTCCTGCGTCTGCGTCTTCTAATACTCAGTATTCGTCACAGAATTACACACCACTCACGAAAATGGATGCAGCAGGAGTTTCCCAGTGCCTCGACCAGCACCAACAGCACTTTGCCTTGTTAATCGCCGGCATGCAGGAAGTGCTCCAAACTCTGCATAATCTGCCCAGCGCTCCGGTTCCACCTCAGGGAGCGGCGAGTGCACCCAATCCACCTGTTCCCTACCATCACCCACTTCTGAGGGAACCCTCGCCCTACCGGAGTGCTATGACGGTAAAATACTAAATGTAGCGGCTTCCTGCTACAAGTTTCACGTTATCTGGCGCATCAGCCTGGGGCATATCCATCTGACCAAGCCAGGATAGCGCTGGTGATTTCGCTACTTAAAGGAAAGGCGCTTGATTGGGCCACGGCAGTCTGGGAAGGAGGTGAGGCCGTGGCCCTTCCCTACTCCACCTTCCTCGCTCGGTTCAGGGCGGTGTTTGATCATCCCACGGAGGGAAAGGACGGGGTGCGCGTCTCATCCAGCTACAACAGGGAGAGTGGCCCACGTCCGAGTACGCTCTGAGTTCTCACGGTGGCGGCGTCTTCCGGCTGGAATGATCGTGCTCTGCGCACGGCCTTCAGAAGAGGGTTACGGGAGGATATCAAGACGGAACTTGCATGTCGGGGCGACAAGATGGACTTTGATACCCTCATCGCCACGTCCATCCGTCTTGACGACATGTTGAGAGACAGACGGTGTTCCCAACACCTCCCGGTGCCTTGACGCTCACCCCATCTGAGCTATGGAAGCAAACCTGCCTCAGAGTCCTCACCCATGGAGGTGGGCAGCACCCCCTACACCACCACGGACCACAGATCTCCTGGCGGCTCCCAATCTAGGCGGTATGACTCCTGTAGCCGCTCTGTGAGTGTTACGTCATCTCCTATCACAAAACCATTGTTTTTAGTTCCCATAACGATGACTGGTTATTCCTTCTCTTCCATTTCCACTGCAATGATAGATTCCGGATCAGAGGGGAACCTTATAGATATGGAGCTGGTCTCTGAATGGGGGTTTCCCACCATGCCACTGCCTTCTCTGCTACACGTCACCTCGCTGGACAATAAACCACTTGGATCATGCACCATTACGCACGTCACTCTCCCCAATACCATCACCATTCCCACACTACCGGATCACCACGAAGAGCGGTCATTCCACATCGTCACGTCACCCCTTCACCGGATCGTCTTGAGATTGCCCTGGCTCAGACTACACAACCCCACCATCAATTGGATCACCAAGAGGATCATAGCCTGGTCCCCCTCATGCCGAAGACCTGCCTGCTGGTGGTTTGTTGTTCCACGTCAGTGGAGAGTCCGGAGTCCGGCCTGCAGCCCAACATTCCACGTGAGTATGCAGATCTCTCTGATGTCTTCTCTTCATCAAAGGCTACGTTTTTCCCCTCCTCACAGGCCCTTGGACTGCAACATTGACCTGCTGGAGGGACAACACCCCCCGAAGAGTCGCATTTACCCCCTTTCCATGGCGGAGAATGAGGCCATGGAGAAGTATGTGGCGGAGACCCTGAAACAGCGGTTCATCAGACGCTCTACCTCTCCTGCCTCCGCCAGCTTCTTCTTCGTGGCCAAAAAAGACGGAGGACTGAGGCCGTGCATTGACTACAGGGGGCTGAACGCAGTCACCACCAAGTACCGGTACCCCCACCTTCTTGTTCCGTCGGCCATCGAGTCGGGACTTTACCAAGTTGGACCTGAGGAGTGCCTACAACCTGATCTGAATCCGGGAAGGAGACGAGTGGAAGATGGCATTCAGCACTACCTCAGGCCACTATGAATATGGAGTCATGCCCTACGGCCTTGCCAATGCACCTTCTGTGTTACAGTCCTTCATCAATTACGTGTTCCGAGACATGCTGAGTAGACAGGTGGTGGTGTACATCGACAATATCCTGATCTACAGGGCTACGTTCGAGGAGCACGTCAGGGACGTCAGAGCTGTCCTACTCTGCCTCTGGGAACACAGCCTGTTGGTGAAGGGGGAGAAATGTGAATTCCACCAACAGGCCATCTCCTTCCTGGGATACAGGATCAGTCCTCAGGGGGTGTTCATGGAAAGAGCGAAGACGGACGCCGTCAGTTCATGGCCAGTCCCCACCACCATCAAGGGCCTACAGAACTTCCTGGGCTTTGCCAATTTCTACCGGCATTTCATTAGGTCCTTCAGCTCCATAGCCGCCCCGCTCACCTCTCTCCTTAAGGGTGGGCATCAGAAGCTGGCCTGGAACCCTGAGGCTGAAGCTGCCTTCCAGAGGCTGAAGGAAAGGTTCACCACAGCGCCCATCCTAAAACACCCAGATCCATCTTGTCCTTTCATCCTGGAGGTGGACTCATCGGAGGAGGGCGTGGGTGCGGTCCTCTCCCGGCGGTACGGTAAGCCAGAGAAAATGTATCCCTGTGCCTTTTTCTCTAAAAAGCTTACCCCCGCAGAGAGGAACTATGGAGTTGGAGACAGGGAGCTGTTTGCGGTGGACACTGGCTGGAGGGCACAGTCCATCCATTCCGGATTCTTACTGACCACCGGAATTTGGAGCACATACGGGCAGCGAAACAGATGAACTCTCGTCAAGCCAGGTGGGCCCAATTTTCTTACTCGCTTTCAATACATTCTGTCCTACCGCCTAGGATCCCAGAATGTGAAAGCCGACGCACTCTCCAGGATGCACCATACTGGAGAGAGGAAGGATCTGGGGGGGTCCTATCCTGCCCCTGTCTCTCATCGTTGCACCTGTCGTTTGGGAGGACCCAGCGCCTGCCAACGCCCCTCCGGGGCACGTGTATGTACCCACCAGTGTCCATGACCGCCTGCTGATCTGGGCACACACCACCCTTACAGCAGGGCACTCCGGTATTACGTGCACCCTGCATTCTCTAGCACAAAAATACTGGTGGCCCACCTTGGTTTCTGATGTCTCTCGTTATGTCAACTCCTGTTCTGTATGTGCCCAAACGAAGACACCTCGGAACGCCCCGGCAGGCAAACTAGTTCCTCTACCAGTGCCTCAGCAACCTTGGTCACACCTGTCCATAGACTTTGTCACCGACCTCCCACGTTCTGATGGCTTCACCACAGTCATGGTGGTCGTAGATAGGTTCTCAAAATCATGCAGTTTTTTGCCACTAACTGGTCTTCCTTCTGCTCTCCAGGTCGCTGAGGTTCTGTTCCAACAGGTCTTCCGGCACTATAGACTTTCGGAGGACATCGTCTCGGACCGTGGCCCCCAATTCACCTCCCGAGTGTGGAAAGCTTTCCTGGAGAAGATCGGGGCCACGGCCAGCCTCACTTCCGGGTATAGGACTCAGTCAAATGGGCAGATGGCGCATGAACCAGGAGCTGTGGAGGTTTCTTCGTTGCCACTGTCAGGACCGGCAGGGTGAGTGGGCGAGGTTTCTTCCCTGGGCAGAATATGCCCAGAACTCCCTCGTTCACTCCTCCACAGGGCTCACTCCCTTCCAATGCGTCCTGGGGTAGCAGCCGGCCCTGGCCACTTGGACACCCAGCCAGACTGATGCGCCCGCTGTCGATGAGTGGTTTCGCAGGTCTGGGTCTGGGACGCCGCCCATGTCCGTCTCCAGAGGGCCATTTGTCGGCAGAAGGACCAAGCTGACCACCACCGCAGTTTCGCTCCCGTATTCCAGCCTGGTGATCGCGTCTGGCTGTCCACTCAAAACCTCCCTTTCCGCCTGCCCTGCAAGAAACTGAGCCCCCGGTTTGTTCGTTTAAGGTCCTCCGGCGGATTAATGCGGTGTCATACCGGCTGCTCCTTCCCCCTCACTACCGTGTCTCACCTACTTTTCATGTGTCTCTCCTCAAGCCAGTGGTTCCTGGTCCTCTGGCAGATGCTGTCCCCCGGGGTACACCCCCTCCGCCCCTGGACATTGACGGGAGTCCGGCGTATGCTGTGAGGGATCTGCTGGACTCCAGGTTTCGTGGGGGACGGCTCCGTTACTTGGTGGACTGGGACGGGTATGGCCCTGAGGAGAGGAGCTGGGTTCCGGCTGGGGATATTTTGGACCCCAACCTAATTCAGGACTTCCACCGTCGCCGCCCTGACTGGCCCGCTCCTCGTCCTCAGGGTCGCCCTCCTGGCCGGCGACGTCCAGCGGCTGGAACCGCGCGTCTGAGGGGAGGTACTGTCACGTCTCCTCCCATTGCTCCCCTCTGGCGCTCTGATTCGCCGGTCTACTGAGCCACCGGTCTGAGCGCACCATCTCGGCAAACACAGAAATGGAAACCCAACACACCCTAATCACCTCCAGCGCACCTGCACCTCATCACCACCACTATATAGCCCTGGACTGTTCGTTCATTGTTGTGTGTAATTGTTAGCGTCATGTCGTTTACTCGCTCTTTGTTATTCTCTTTCTTATTGTTAAGTAAAACCTTACCTTGTTAATTCCTGCATTTGCATCCTGCCTCTTCGTATACTCAGTATTCGTCACATCAGCTTCCCTCAGCCCTTCCCACCTATCTCTGCTGGCCACCCTCTTCGGATTTCTATGCACCATTTATCTTTCAACTATACTGTGATGTTTAACATACAATTTGAATCTATCTAATCGAATTGAATCTTTTACTCGGAGTAATAGTATATTAGTAATTGTCTGAACCAGTCTCTCCAGATCTCCCAAAAATACTATTTCTAGGGTCAATTTTAGATCAGTGTTATGCATTTTCAGCCATTCCTGAACCTGAGACCAGAAACAGGCTTGAGGGCAATACAAAAACAAAATGGTCAATTGATTCTGTATCCTCACAACAAAATCTGCAGAACTGCGATGATTGTATGCCCCAAATATTCAACATTTTGTTGGTGGCAAGAATTCTGTACAATAATTTTTGCTGAAAAGCACGAAGTCTTGAATCTTGCGTCGTTTTATATATCAACTCATACACCCTGTACCATGGAATCAGTACATCAAAAATCTCTTCCAAACTATTTTCTAATCTGTATGGCTACGACTAGTCTTATTTTTGGTTGGTGCAACAGGTATAAATTCGGATCACAATGTCGGACGTAGCTACGCATTTAAGACCAACTTTTTTTACAACCGGCCCCAGTATCTCAGACTGTTCTGTGGACAAATGTAATCCACTACCTACCAACTCCTTATATGCGGTAGCGCATTAAAAACTGGCAACATACACACAAACACACACACACCTCCAGCTCCCCATTCTCGGCAGCGTCGTGTAGCGGCGTTCCGCCCCAGCTGTCGGTGATGATCTCGCCGCTGTGCAGCAGCAGCCAACTGAGCACCTTGGCATGGCCGCGGCTGGCGGCAAAGTGCATAGCCGTGGCACCGTCACCATCCCGGTCGGCCAGGCTGATCTCTGTGAAACTCACCTGCAATGGGACAACAGTAGAGGTTAAACCAGACAGGGGCAAACTACGGCCCGCGGGCCAGATCCAGCCCGCCAGCCAATTACTGTAGAAGCGGCCCACGGTGGATAAAAATATATGTGTGTGTCAACTGAATGCAGAGCTTAGTTCATAGAATCGCGGTTACGTGAGTAACCTCCAATGTCCACTATTGCAGGTGGGACAAACCGATCGGTTTCTGAAATTATACAGTAATAGGCCCACTGCTCTTAATTCCCTGAGTCTCTATTCAGGGTCCTTCCTGGAAACACCTTCAGACAGCTCACCTAAATCTTCTCAAACCCAACCAAAGAAACCAGTCCAATATCTGTTCATGAAAAAAAGTAAGTTAATAACTTTTGAACTATTGTTCCAGGAGAGAGGAGTTTGAACGATGGACATTTTGTTAGAATGCTGCCGTTAGCTAAGTTTTCTAATTGGAGCTGCTTCCCCCCCCCCCCCCTTTTGTAATATTCATTACCCATACAATTAGAGTATTACAAATGCAAGAACTATAAAACTATATTGGTTATTTATGCCTATGTACTGAAGAGCACATTTCATTCATAATCATTGCACTAGCAGTTTTATGCATTTTCTGTTATACAATAAATCTTGCTTGCCAGCTTTATCTTTTTTGTTGCTTGCCACCTGTGTACTACGCTACCACATGTTAGCCTGCAAGCTAGCCACTATTGGTGACGCTGGTATTTGCCAGGAGGACATTCCTGCTAGCCTTCTAGAACATTAGTTTGAACCTTTAGCTATAGCTTGTGTTACACTATAATGCATTGCTACTTATATTAATATCTTTGCATATTAGTATTTCATTTGCATATTGCAGTTGTCTGATGTTGCTAATACAATTGCATATCATTAGCATTTTATAGCCATGTATTATGCTCTTTATGGTTTATGGATATTCATGTACACCCACATTGGATTTATTTGGCGCTTGTCTAGGACCCAAATACACTATAAAATAATACAACAAATACAGTAGAAGAAATAACAGAAGACAGCATGAAGTGGGGACCATTGACCTACCAGCCAGACGATGACAGTGTTATGGCCCATTTGGGCGGCGGCGTGCAGAGGTGTCATCCCGTCATTGGCTCTGATGCCTGGATCTGCACCACAGTCCTTCACCAGGTATTGGACAACCTCCAGGTGACCTTCCTGGCAGGCCAGGTAGAGGGGTGTGGCACCATTCTTTGTTTGGGAATTGACAACGCTAAAAGAGAAAGTTTTTTTTATTTTAAAGACCTGTATTCGGCATTATTTAATTACCATGTTATTACGTTGTGATTCTTGAACAATATAATAAGCTTGGTCCGAGTTGCCACCTTAAGGAGCCTTTCCATGAGGCTCCAGTCCAAGTAGCCATGACTGGGGGAGGTATTCTGATTAGCACATCAAGCCAACTCCACACCCTGGAGCCAAATTCCGCCCTCCCTGTTCTCCCAAAGGCCAACGTGGCAGTGGATAATTCTTTGCCCCATCCAATGACAATGCCTCTGCTTGCCCCAGCTCTCCTTGTCACAGCGGGAGTTCAAGGAGTGAAGTGAAGTGCTTCCCCTCTAAATCCCATAAGGCCTTGCTTTATTTGGACACTGACTGACATGCGGGAAATGAGTCCCGTAAGAGGCTTACCATCCTGCTGGTTCTGTTCCTCACTACCTCTGTGTTAACCAGGCGGCAGTAAGTGGTGACAGGCCAAAGGGAGGGAGGGAAGTAGATGTAAAGAGGGGGAGGGGTAAAGGGGGAGGGGTGTCTCCCCTCAAACCAAACAACTCCACCCAGTTTCCCCTCACGGAATAGAGACAGCAGCCAACAACTTACTCGACCGAGTCAGGGTTGTTACTAAAGCTATATATTTGGACGATGTAGGCGTTTCCTGGATCCAAAACGTAACACCTTAAGTAACACCTTTCCTTTGTTTTGTTTCTTGAAAACGTGACAAAACCCAAAATCTTAGGCGTGACCAACGGGGCATCCTTGGGGTGCATTTGGGGCGACGTTCAAGGTAAAAACAAGCGGCCTTGAATATTTCACCACAGGAAGGGGACCTAATCTGCAGTTCTATCATCAGGAAGTGGGCAGATGGCTGCATTATTCATGAGTGTAACTAAAGTGGGCTGGAGCTCTCCTACATCCCGGGGTGTGGATAGGGAGAACAACATACACTATGTTTATGGAAAGGAGCTGACACTAACATGCGAACATTGATGCAACACACAAACCCACTCAAATACACCTTACCACTGGATAGAAACTGCACCAAGGTGTCTATGTGCTCTTATGAGATGCCTCATGACAAGGGTGACTACGGAGTTTCCACAGATTCAGGCACTCCACTAAAGGAATTGCTTTAGGAGTACAGGTGTAGATTTCAAAAGGGCTTAACAAAGAGGCTTGTCTTTGTGCGAGGGTAAAAATACAAAAAGTGTGACAATAGATGATACCCTGTCCCACATACCACACACCCTCAACAAAAACATGCACACATGAGCCATTTTGTTCGTCCGTCATTTGTCAACTTGAAATTGCCTTCACTATTACTGGATACAATACACCATTCTCCCCTCCCCCATGTTCAGCAATCTTATCTTTATTATTAGCAAAGTAATTGATGTTGTCACGCTAATGGGCTTCTTGCCTGATAAAAGCTAATTGCGTTCTCAGTGGCTTTTCCTGTTTAAATAATTAAGTGACCCATGACGAGAAAAGTTTTCCTCCATAGTGTTACAGAGGACTGAAGAAATTACATACTTTAACCAACATACCCCAACCAAAAAATTTAAAATCACTTACATTCAACAATTATTTAGGTCTTACTATTATTATTATTTTTTAAGCTTACTGTTACCTGCACCATCAGTCTCAACAGATACAGTGAGGGAAACAAGTATTTGATCCCCTGCTGATTTTGTACGTTTGCCCACTGACAAAGACATGATCAGTCTATAATTTTAATGGTAGGTTTATTTGAACCGTGAGAGACAGAATAACAACTAAAAAATCCAGAAAAATGCATGTCAAAAATGTTATAAATTGATTTGCATTTTAATGAGGGAAATAAGTATTTGACCCCTCTGCAAAACATGACTTAGTACTTGGTGGCAAAACCCTTGTTGGCAATCACAGAGGTCAGACGTTTCTTGTAGTTGGCCACCAGGTTTGCACACATCTCAGGAGGGATTTTGTCCCACTCCTCTTTGCAGATCTTCTCCAAGTCATTAAGGTTTCGAGGCTGACGTTTGGCAACTCGAACCTTCAGCTCCCTCCACAGATTTTCTATGGGATTAAGGTCTGGAGACTGGCTAGGCCACTCCAGGACCTTAATGTGCTTCTTCTTGAGCCACTCCTTTGTTGCCTTGGCCGTGTGTTTTGGGTCATTGTCATGCTGTAATACCCATCCACGACCCATTTTCAATGCCCTTGCTGAGGGAAGGAGGTTCTCACCTAAGATTTGACGGTACATGGCCCCGTCCATCATCCCTTTGATGCGGTGAAGTTGTCCTGTCCCCTTAGCAGAAAAACACCCCCAAAACATAATGTTTCCACCTCCATGTTTGACGGTGGGGATGGTGTTCTTGGGGTCATAGGCAGCATTCTTCCTCCTCCAAACACGGCGAGTTGAGTTGATGCCAAAGAGCTCGATTTTGGTCTCATCTGACCACAACACTTTCACCCAGTTCTCCTCTGAATCATTCAGATGTTCATTGGCAAACTTCAGACGGGCCTGTATATGTGCTTTCTTGAGCAGGGGGACCTTGCGGGCGCTGCAGGATTTCAGTCCTTCACGGCATAGTGTGTTACCAATTGTTTTCTTGGTGACTATGGTCCCAGCTGCCTTGAGATCATTGACAAGATCCTCCCGTGTAGTTCTGGGCTGATTCCTCACCGTTCTCATGACCATTGCAACTCCACGAGGTGAGATCTTGCATGGAGCCCCAGGCTGAGGGAGATTGACAGTTATTTTGTGTTTCTTCCATTTGCAAATAATCACACCAACTGTTGTCACCTTCTCACCAAGCTGCTTGGCGATGGTCTTGTAGCCCATTCCAGCCTTGTGTAGGTCTACAATCTTGTCCCTAACATCCTAGGAGAGCTCTTTGGTCTTGGCCATGGTGGAGAGTTTGGAATCTGATTGATTGATTGCTTCTGTGGACAGGTGTCTTTTATACAGGTAACAAGCTGAGATTAGGAGCACTCCCTTTAAGAGTGTGCTCCTAATCTCAAATCAAATCAAATTTTATTGGTCACATGCGCCGAATACAACAGGTGCAGACATTACAGTGAAATGCTTACTTACAGCCCTTAACCAACTGTGCATTTATTTTAAACAAAAAAAGTAAGAATAAAACAACAACAAAAAAAGTGTTGAGAAAAAAAGAGCAGAAGTAAAATAAAGTGACAGTAGGGAGGCTATATATACAGTAAAATAAAGTGACAGTAGGGAGGCTATATATACAGGGGGGTACCGTTGCAGAGTCAATGTGCGGGGGCACCGGCTAGTTGAGGTAGTTGAGGTAATATGTACATGTGGGTAGAGTTAAAGTGACTATGCATAAATACTTAACAGAGTAGCAGCAGCGTAAAAAGGATGGGGTGGGGGGGCAGTGCAAATAGTCCGGGTAGCCATGATTAGCTGTTCAGGAGTCTTATGGCTTGGGGGTAGAAGCTGTTGAGAAGTCTTTTGGACCTAGACTTGGCACTCCGGTACCGCTTGCCGTGCGGTAGCAGAGAGAACAGTCTATGACTAGGGTGGCTGGAGTCTTTGACAATTTTGAGGGCCTTCCTCTGACACCGCCTGGTATAGAGGTCCTGAATGGCAGGGAGCTTTGCCCCAGTGATGTACTGGGCCGTACGCACTACCCTCTGTAGTGCCTTGCGGTCAGAGGCCAAGCAGTTGCCATACCAGGCGGTGATGCAACCAGTCAGGATGCTCTCGATGGTGCAGCTGTAGAATTTTTTGAGGATCTGAGGACCCATGCCAAATCTTTTTAGTCTCCTGAGGGGGAATAGGCTTTGTCGTGCCCTCTTCACGACTGTCTTGGTGT